ATTCTGAGATGATCGCTGCATTCTTGGCAGTGTGTGAGTTGAAAATAACTTTAAACACTAAAAGTAAACTGGTGTCTTCAATTTTATACAGCAAATAAGTTAAAGTAACATTGCTTCTTGTTTTATTTAGGTTAGCATGGAGTTGTAAAAAATATCACTTTGCAATGTAAAGAAATGGAAAAACATTTCCTTGCTGAATTTTACTTTGTTGCTATAAGATATCTGTATAGCAAGTTAGAAGATTGAGTTGTAGAATAGCGAATATTGTTTACCTACCTGAAATTGTTTCCTTTTTTGAGAGCGTAAGAAATAACTCATTAGTGAAAAATATTGTATTATCACTGAAATGCATAACATTTAATAAACTGTTGAAAATTGTTCTTGTGTTGAATATATACAGTTCGGTATATAAAACTAAACAAATGCCTTAGTGAAAAGTAGAAGCAAAACCAAATGGATAGTTATAGATAATAACCTTCGACCCTAGGAATAGGATTAGCATCCTACACAGTAAAGTCTGTAGTGGCTACATGCCGGAAATGAAGTTTAAAGATGACGGAAAATCTTGGCCATTTGAGTAATGAAGCCGGCCAGACAACTAAGATACGTGATGTTCCGTTTAACTTTTATGTTATCTTCCTTGCTCTCTACTGATTTTATTTTTTTTCTTGCAAACGTTCCTATTGTACTGTCAAAAATAAAGGGACCCCAGTAAGAACAAAAAGTTCCTGTGTAATCAATTGGGAAAATTGATGGGTGAACAGTTCTAGCCACACTTCAGTGATATAGAGATAAGAAATAATTATTTGGACAATAGCCGATATACAATTGCAACAATAACTGAAAAAGGTGTGTCACAAAATATTCTTTCTTTTCGAAATGCGCTCTTTAACCCTTTCACCACCACGTGCCGGTTTTCCGGCTCAAGGAAAAAGTGTCCCAAACACTATGCGCCGGAAATCTAGCGAAAAAAACATTGCTGACAACTCGGGATCATAGCGAGGCAGATTTCATTGGAGGGGGGTCTTCCTATTACAATTGGGTTCCCAGAAAAATTCCTCAAACTCCAGGCAAGAAAAAACATGGTGGTTTCACCTGAAAATTTTGAGTTACCGTGAATTTTTTCAAACATTACACATTGCCATTTTTAAATGTCTTTGAGTGAGGACGATCAATTGAGTGAAGACGAATTTTCTGAGGATGAAGATTTGCTGCAAGCAATTTTCGACGCTGAAGATGAAGAGGAAGAAGGAGAATTCGAAGGTTTTCCGATCCGATTACCGGAAAATATGAACTGGACATGCACAGAATTTGATGCGAACATTGAGGACTATTTGTTACAGTGTGGCCCAAAAGAGGACGCTCCACATTAGGAATCAGCACTGGGATATTTTAAGCTTTTTTTGGAAAATGGGTTAATTGAAATGATCACTGGATTTATGAACAAGAATGTTGTTGCTAAATGGGCCGTTGACTGGAAACAAACAACAGCGGTAGAGATCAAGGCACTTCTTGCAATGATCATCATCTCAAATGATCTGCTTGTTGTGCCGAGGGATGAGTGCTACTTTCTCTCAGGTGGGAATACTTCTGTCTTTCATATACCTGGTATAAGAAATATATTTTCCTCTCGTAAACGCTATTTTGATTTGAAGAAGTATATTTCTTTTGTGGATCCTGATCATGAGAAAACAGAAGATGAAGCAAGAGATGTGCTCTACAAAATCCGAAATATCTCCAGAACAATAACTCAAAAATGTTTTGACCTCTACAACTGCCATGAAAGTGTTTCAGTAGATGAAGGAATGGTGCCTTTCAAGGGACGATT